ATATATATATATATATATATATATATATATATACATCGATTTATTCGACTTTCGTGCAGGTACATTTACTCGTATTGTATGTTCGGAATGTTGGTTACGTTCGCAAATCTTTCAATTTCGTACGAAAGGGAAAAAGAGACAAATTTTAAGATTTTTATTAAAATAAATTAAATTTTAAAAGGAGAAATATAATTTTTTATGCACGAAATAGAAAGATACGAATAAATCATTTCGGAACATTTCAATTTTGCAATCCATCACGTATAAAACGTATAATTATCATCAAGATGACATATGTATACCAATGTCGGGTTAAAAGGGTGAAGAAAGAACAAAGAATATATACGTATTTAAAATATACAATAGTACATCTGATTGATTTTTCTTCTATATAAATACAATTCGTGTTGCTATAATATAAAGATATTTGAAGAGAGGGAAAGGGGATAAAAATTTGAAAAATAAAAGTCAACAACCATCGAAGAGAAATCTTTATACTACCGCGCTTAAAAATAATGGTTAAAAAGATAAGTATTATAATCTAAAAAAAAATGGGCATATCCTCTTTCGATTTTATCATTTCTCATTCTTACAAATAATCGCGAATATCGTAAAATTTGTATATCGTTGTATGTCTTATCGTTAAATGTAACAATTGCAAAAAATGAAATCGTATTTTAAGTCGTGCACGCGCGTTGTATCACATTTAGCAATGTAATATCTCTACTTTGAAAATAATAAAGACGAAACAAATATTTCACGAGCAATACGAAAAAAAAATATATTATAAATATATATATATATATGCATACATATATATATATATATATATATATATACACACACACCACACGCGCGCGCGCGCGCGCGAGCATGGGTGTGTGTGTGTGTATGTATCATGCCAATCCATTTTATTACGATAATTTTTCGTAATAAAATTTTTTGTTTTTATTTTTATTTTATTTTATTTCATTTTATTTATTTTATGAATTTTAGAGAAGAATTAGGAAAATTCCGTCAACTTTAATACAAGCCTTCGAGTATAACGGCAGTCATTATCAATATCGTATGGGTTGCCAAACACCGGTGGTTTCATCTCGACGATAATAATGAGGTCTATTGTCACGGAAGACGGTGACTGCCGGAAATTGATTATCCTGTATATACTTGAGCGTTGCTCGTACCTAAGATAAATTATTTTAACAAGCGTGAATGTGAATAAAAATATAAAAATATAAGAATATAAAAAGAATTAGAATCAGATAGAAAATCGATTAATCGTTCGATCATCAATTATAAAATACAGATTACATCATGTTACCTGTGATACAAAATGTGGAAGTTCCACTTCTGGTGCGGTTGAAAGATGTTGCAGAATAAATTGATCGGATTGAGCTAACCAAAGATCGACTCCTCTTAAAGGATCGTAGTTGAACGGTCCGATTCTGAGTAAACCAAGGGTACAGTCGTAAATATCTAAAACCTAATATACAAGATAAACGATATTATCGATATTACAAAAAAATCCGTTCTTTTATTATCCAAATTTAATATATATTTAATATATATTTATATCTAATATAGTTTAATCGCGAGAAGAATATAAGTTGAAAGAGGACATCACATTTACATGTACCGTAATTCTTTCAAGATAATCATCGCTTACCTGTTGACCTCCGGTTAAATGCCTAGCACATCTTAGGGCCTGATCAGGGCCTTTATCGGGGAAGGTGGCAGGAAAAATCTCACCCGTTTTTACATTCAAACCGATACCGTATATTACCGGCCAATGAGTTCCACCTCTTACCGTAGTGTTCAATTCGCCCACGCAACACAACGTTAGATCAATCTCTACCGGTTGTTTGTGAAATGCAGCTAGAATTAGAATATGACGTATTTTTGTAAATTGATCAAATTACGGGATAGAGAGAAAGAGGACACTTACAAAGAATATTGGAGAACAATTCTTCAGAATAATTCCTGGGATCGGAATAGCCACCGACCAGTTGTAGTTCTAGACGACCCTCTGGAAATCCAATGGCAAGTTCCGTTACCCTTTGAATCATCGTTGCTGCTGCATCTTCTGTACCAGCTCCGTCAAGATGCGCCAATGCAGCAGCACCGGATCCTAACGGGTTAATAATCAAATTGTTTAAACGCGCGTATACACATATGTCAATTCATTACCCATTCATTTTTATTTTATAAATCAAAAAAAAAAAAAAAAATTTCAAGCTGTTATTTTTAATCACGATACACGACTAATTAATTTTATATCATAGCTTACCGGAATGCCTTACAACAACAATGATACAAGTGGTCATATCATCCGAGCCAATAATGCTCACATTTTCTGAAACAGAAATAAAAAAAAAGGGAGAATTGAACGAATATTATTTGTATTATAGATTCGATTTATAAAATTCGAAATGTGAAATGTGAATTTATATCGACGTATATCGATCATTTTCAGAATCAATTTAAAATTACTCGACTACTTTCATTATTCGATTACTCGATTACATAAAATTATTCGTACATAGAATAGAATTTTTCTATATTGTTTCACAAGGAAAGAAAAAAAGAACGATTTACACATATATATGTATAAATATATATATGAGAATTAAATATATTACATTTACATACAGACGTAGAAAAAAAAAGTTAATATTTACTATCGTGTGGCAAAGTAGCACCCATTTCCCGTTGACGTACGTAAAGAAGACCCATTGGACCCACCAATTTTGCTGGCATCGAATGAAGTTGCGCAGCAGTTTCACGATATACCGGGTGAGCTGCATATAACGATCTGCTATCCACTGGTATGTCCTCTTGCAGGACTCCGTTTACTACCAGCACCATTCTGTCTAACAAAGAAACGCACAACAAACAAACAAAATATCGTTAGAAAATATTCTGTGTGGTATATAAATAATAGAGAAAATAATGTGGTACGTAATTATTATACGTAATATAGTAGCGAATAGTAGCAATAAAAATGATAATATATTTAAGAGCGAGATTTAAATTCTTATGGGGAAAATTTTCGTAAAAAATAGAAAGAACATACTTAGATATTCAAGTATATCTTATATCGAATCGATAAAAAATGCAAATTTAACGAGAGAGAAAAAACGCAAAGTATAAAATTTCTTCTTGTAAACATCGTCTCATCGTTATTATCATCGTATCGTTCGTAATAAAAAATATTTTTGTTATACCATCTATACGTATAATCGTACGATCGAAAAAACATTACGTCAAAGTTGGTTGTAAGATCGAGAGATCGAAGATCAGCGGCGAGCATTGTTGGCACTCGGACTCCGTCGTTTGCGTTAATCGTGTTAACGATAAAACCTCGGGACAACCGTGCCAATCAGTCAGCCAACGAGCTAACCAGTCAACCAGCTAGTCAGTCTTTCCTTCCAACTTATTCGAAAGGTTAAGGTCATTCGCTCGAATGACATTCTGCGTTTAACCTTTCGTTTGTTTAACGAGATTACTAACAAACCGAGAAATGAAACTAGAATGAAACTTTCTCAAGCCGCACCTCGATCGCTACTCTTCTCTTATAAGATTTCTATCAAATTGTTTCGATTCGTTCCAATTTTTTAATCCAACTCGATTAATTTTAATTCAATTTATTTTTCTTTCTCTCTAAAATTATTACACATTGGAAAACCAACGAAATAGGAAATAAATAGGAAAGAAGAGAAATTTCGGTGACTGCCGAAATTTATATTCTTTTCGAGAAAACAAAATTATTAACAAGCAAAAATTAAAGATACACAATATATTTTCGATATAAGGAAAAAGATTCGAGAGAAAAATAACTTTAAATATATATATATATATCTTTAGGATAACGTAAGAAACGATGCGATTACGAGGATAAGAAATATAAATTTGGTTCATATAAATCGTAAATGAAACTATATACTACTAAATAAAACAAAAAGATAAAAAGCTAAAAAGTAAAAAAAATTTTGTTTCACGAAATTGGATGACAATCGCGTAACGGAAAAAAAAGAAAAAAACAGAGATGCACAAAGTGAAAGAAAAGCGTTGTTTGATTCAACTGTTTGATATATATATATATATATATTATATAATACCAGAGTAATATTTTCACGTTTTTTTTTAAATTGAATGCACAATATCTATACGATAAGAAAAATCAATCGCGATTCAATGGTAAAATAAAAGATTCGAAAGAACATCGATCCGAAATTAAGCACACGACTACGACTAAGCATTCACGACAACGTTTCATTCAATCATCGCGGTTGCGGTTAGGATGAACTCATTAACAAATCGCGCTAATTATGGCCACTATTATCGGTTCAAGTGGCGATTGGTTGATCAGTGCGATCCATACTCTGGTAGTGGGATGGGTTAAAATCCCGTCGGAACCAATTGAAGTGGATGGTACCGATCAGATATCGAGTCGTCGTACCGCACCGCACCGCATCAATGTGCTTCCACCGCTACAAACTCACCAATAACAAAACAACATGTTTGCTTCGCTATATACCTCCCCTCCCACTTTTCTTGTTTTAAAATCAAAATCTTTACGATTCAATTTTTCTTTTTTCTCATTTTTCATTTTCTCATCAATCGATTTGAAACTGACAACTATCAAATAATCCTTACGTATATAGTTAATATATACATGTACCGTTTATTAGTATTCCAAACTTACAATATTTCTTATCATAATTCAAAATATAATTCGAAACAAATAAATAAATTTGATTTAATAATCATTTTCAATGACAATGACATCAACAAACTTAACTAATTTATCTTCTTTTAATGAAAATTTTTCAATTGTTTCCAACTCTTTTTCACAAACAAAACATATAAATCCTACAACATTGGCAATATTAAAGAGATATCATTTAAATTAACGAATGATAAAGTGTAATTATTCGTACGAATCGTTAATTAATTCGATTGATCTTTTCTAATTCTAACGAAATCTATTCTTTGTTAGATCTCTACGAAAATCCAACGTATACATACCTTTTTCTTTATCTTTCATTATTCCTTTTGCTCTTTTTATTCGATTTTTCCAAAATTTATTCACAATTCGCGATCGATCGAAACGAAAAATTCATTTCACCACAATAAAATAGTATTCTTATACACGTATAGGATAATAATTAATAAAATAAGATCTAATACGATTTTTCGCATCTCTTTTGTAACATTATTAAAAACTAGAAGATTTATATGTTTGAACAACTAGAAAATGAAAATTATATCGAAATATCGGAGGAGGGAAAATAAGAAATAAATTAAAAAGTGAAAAAGGAAAGGATCGGAAAAGAATGAAAAGAAGACTTGAAAGAGAACAGAGATAAAAGATGAAAGGAAGAGAGAGGAATAAAGAGAGGAAAAAGAGACGAAGCGAAACATCTTGGTTGTTCGTGGCTATAATCGATGGAGAGATTAGACAACTGGTTGGTTGATTGGTTGGTTGGTTGGTTGGTTGGTTGGTCGGTTGATCGGTCAGTTGTTTGATCGGCTAGCTAACTACGCAGATCGAGCCACACGGAAATCCACTTGAAAAGTAGCCATTACCTTAATTATTAGTCTTTCGTAGAGAGGCTATGTGTACGTTAAACCCAGAATGCGGTGCAACATTCGATAATTTTTTTCGATGCTTCATAATCGACTTCAGAAATTCTCTTCACTAAGACATTTTGATCAATTTATGCACGATATTTATGCATTCAATTTAAATTAAAAGCAAATTAAAAATGATCAAGAAAATGCAAAAGTATACAAATATCACATATATAGATATTTAACGTTTTACAAATCTATCTTATGACGAATAAAAATGTAACAACATTGTAAAAAGTCGATTTATTAAGAAATTATAAAGATAAAAATAAATTAAATAATCAATATAATTGGCGTAAAGAAAGATAATATTGAAAAATTCGTTCAGACAAAACGAAATAAAATTTTAATAAGATTTAAGAAATTTTTATCAGCAAATTTCCTCGAATCAAACCTCTCTTATTGATATAATATACGATGATATATTTTGCTCTTTTCCAAGACATACAATTTCGAAATGGCATACCAGAAACTCCTTCATCTTTCTTTTTTACATAATATATCAATTAGTCGCAAAATACCCGCAACTATAGTAGTTATACTCGCGATATATTACATATATATAGGGAATGTATAGGTATATATATACATACATATATATACATATATATATATATACATTCTCTTATATATATACACGCGTGCGCGCATATTTAAGTGTGCAAAGAACTATAGCTATTATCCCTTTCCTCGAATCATTTCTTTTTTCTCTGAAGCTAGTATTCCAATGATCAGTGATTTCATTGGGAAACTTTGCCAAGTAAATATATAATATACGCTACTTTGTTTCGAGCGAAACGAATATTTTTCATTCGAATGATTTTTTCCTTTCCACTTTTATCCTCCACCATTCCTCGCCAATCATCTATCATCCGAATATCCTGATCGAGATTTTTTTCGTCTACGAAGCATCAAAGCATTTATAATTGATAATTATTTTTTGTATTCTTTCCTCAACAAACGATATCTCGTAGCTAAGTCTATCAAACAGAAAAAAATTTTTCTATAACTCGTCTCGAAATTAAGGATTAATTAATTGATTTAATTAAATGATCAATTACCATTATCGTCATCCTCATCGCATATAAATATAGATCTCGTTGGATAATAATCGAATCTCGAAATAATATGACGATTTATAACTTCCGAGAATCACAAAACTTATATACTTGTATAATATTTGCTCCGCATCTGTATCATAAAAGTATGAATGTGATATCTAATTTATCGAATTCGAAGATTGTGTTAATATAAATATACCAAGTATTTTCTGATACGCAATTTCCAATATAAATACCAAATCTTCTTATTATTAATATCATTTCTATCATTGAAAAATACAAATCATTTTGAGATAAACGTCAAATGTTTTGAATCGGTCTTTTTACGATTCGTCCTTCACCCGAAAGGATCAAGAATGAATATGTTAAAGATGCAGAACAAGATATTTGCACAAAATCTCATAAATTCGTCAACAAATTGATATAACGAAGAATATAAAGATCTTCTTAATCGAGATTCGAAGCTGATTATGATAAAAAGAATTTTGTAACTTTTCTTTTAAAAACTCCAATACTTTTCTTGCATAAAAGACAAACTGTTTTCGCAAAAAAGAGAATGCGAAACATTGCGAATGTTGTTTAATGGAATCAGAGACCAGTGAACATTTCGAGAAAACAATGACTCTTGAGCAAAGAAGCCGCGCATTTGTACAGAATCTGAAAAGGAACGAGAACGAGATGTCTTGGATTGACCAATTTAATTCAATGATACTCCAATGATGCCAATCTAATTGAAATTCGTCGCATTCGAGAAATATAAAAGTCTTTTTTCCTGTTTCATATTCCGAAAAATTGATCGAATATGTATATTTAAATATTGTCAGATAATGATCGTAGATTTTACATATTATCAAGTGTGTATTAGATTTTTAGATATATTTTCAATATATATTTTTTATTACAAAAAATTTATTTGTAAAATAAGATTTCACAAAAATATCGTGTTTACGGTTACTTTTATAATAACAAACTGCGTATTAATTGCGTGTTGCTATATCGTAGGAGAATTGAAAGTTTTAAAAAAAAAAAAAAGAAGCGACAGATTTAATATAAAAAGCATATTATCGTTATTATACATACATACATATATATATATATATATATATATATATATATATTATTATATTATATATATATTATTATTAT